TCAGCTCTCTGGGGGCCTTGTATTTCTTGACACTTTGTGTTTATATATTCTTGTCATGTCACATTTTGGTAAAAGTCACTGTTTATAGGTATAAATCCCACAAGAATAGCACTCATATCTGTCTTCCTTACCTTCCTTACTTCCAGGGGACAGCATGTTCCCTGAAACATATTAGGCTCTGTGTACATTTCTTTCATGAATAGTCACATAAATACCTATGGGAATAATTTTGTTTACATTAAGCCATATCATTCCAGAACTGTGAATCCAGGAATCAAAAATATCTCTCATTAAAGGAGTTAATTTGTATTATAACTGAATACACAGGATTTGGAAATTCCGATGAATTCCTAGCAAGGCCAGTAAAGAAGTTATTGTCTGATAAGATTGAAGGATATAAAATGTCTTGTTTTTAGGAACCATCTGAGGATTTTCGGTATTTATCTGATGCAATTATTATGATTTGTTTTCTTATAGAATAGGAAGAAACAGCATAAATTAAAAATAAAGCTTTATAGTAAAACTTGTTAATAGGACATGTGTTTTTTCCCTTCAGATAAAATGATATTGTTGCTGAAAATATTGGATTAGATTTAGTCATGCTAATGATTCAATCATTTATTAAAAAGATATTTTCAAAGGTTATGATCAATATTGTGATTGGAATTATAATAAAACTTTTTAAAAGGGTAATTCATTTATCTAACATTCTCTTATTAAGTATATAAATATTTAAGAGAATAATACTGTAACTAATAATCCTCTCACCTGGCTTATGGACTGATTTATTAACAAATGTGATACATATTCCTATTTAAGATAAAACGTGTCCAGAATTAAAGCAGGAAATGGAAACATTACTATCAGAGGCCATCCATCTCATTAAAAGTCTAGAAACTGACCGGGCAGAAGCTGAAGAAGCTTTAAAAAAACAAAGATCAAGAAAGACAGTGCTTAACACAAAAATTGACGCTTGGTCAATCTGGAAACTTGAAGAACTCCCGTTAGCTGTGCAGAAAGGTAATAACAAGGATTTTTCATATTGCCACTTACTCTATTGGAGAGGCACAGATAATCAATTGCAGCTCTGCATAAAAAAAGTCACCTCTATTTAGAGTGGCCATATTATTTTGCATACAAACTAGGGCACTTTTGAAATATGCTATTAAAAATGATGCTAGGTTCACATTAGTTCACATGAACTGAGACTGCACTGAGCAAATCTAGACCCGTTGTCCTTTGGGTCTGTTAGAAATTCCATAACATTTGTGGTACCCGAGCAGCATGCAAACACTTAGCATATATTTCCTACAATGACTATAGCGTTTGAGTTCCTAGAGATTTGGTAATTTAAAATGATTTCTGGTTGGTGTCATTGGCCACATTTTTAAATCTAGGAAAACTGAAAGAGTTCTAAGTAATATTTTAGGAACTACATGCATCTGTTTTTGAGAATTTGATAGTAAATTTGCTTTGGGAACTTCTAGTAGGTATTTAACCTTAAAATGTTTCCAAGAGTTACGCAAGTAATAAATATTTAAGAAGGAAACTCTTTTAGATCACAGAGTGAGGGACCTATGGTGAAGGATTAAAGAATCTAAAAATATGAGATTTGTTTTTCCTACAAACATGGCTATCAAAACACTCTGACTACCAGATTCTGCCTGAGGCTGGGAGTTTTTTATCCTTTCATAAGGTAAATTTTAATTAAGGATACACATGCTTTATAAGGTTTTTTTTTTTATTAGGGTGCCTTTAAATCTATCATTTAAACCAAGAAATCTTTGAGAGATAAAATAATGTTATTATTACCCTAGGACAACAGTCATTAATTCAAATTAGATGTCATAGTGTACCAACCCTAACACTTTTGTTATAATTTCATAAGTCTTCTGAAACTGTGGTTTTATAATGTGTACAGTATATACATTCCAGGGAGTTGTAAGAAAAGATTAGAATTTTAATTTATATTTTTAAATTTGATTCTTTTTGTAATTCTCTATATAAATAGAATTTATAATGTGCAAAATCTATTAATACAACAGTAGATATATAATTTATAAATGCAAGCATACATATATATTGGTGCTTTAGAGGCAATGAGGCTACGATAGGGTCAAAATAGTCACCCTGAGAAATTCTGTATTCCAGTAGATTCTTGAGCAGACAAACTCACATACACATTCACAAGGAGTCATCTTCAACCTTTCCTTGTTAGTAGTAGTAGAAAAGTTAATGTTGAGGGCTTGTTTTATTTAATTTTTTTGCTGATTAATTTACATATAATTTTATATACCCTTTATAAGGGTACTTAGATAATTGTAGTTTGGGAACTCTGTGGAGTTTTACTTAAGGAGTTGTTAAAATTAAATTGAGATACATGTGTGCACATTCTAGGTGCTTAGTAAATGTGTTTTGAACGGTAGACTAAATCCTTGTCATGGGTAATAATTTATTGTTTGGGTTGCCTTTTAATTAATACTATTACATCTACTTTAAAAATTGAAATTTATGTTTATCTGCTTTATTTTATGTAAGTAACCAACATATGCAATGACATTTAAATTCGTTATTACTATATACATACTTTTTTACTTAAGAGCTTTCTGTTTAAAACACATTCCTGCAAAGATATGTGCTCTCAGGAATCTGCTGCTTTTATATTGATATACATGTGATATAATATCTAAATGTTATGAATTTGTTTACAAAGTATGGAATTATATGTTTTCATTGTCTTTAAATTCTCAAAATCTCTACCACATAAAACAGAAAAAACTTTTAATCTCCTAAACAGCCTTGACATTAACCATGATGTTTATTTTACATTTAGATATTCTTTTATAAAAGTAAGGAAATTCACTTCTTTCTAGATATCGTCTGGTTACTCCTGCAGATTCATCCCTCCCCGCAACTTCCCACCCCTATTTATATCTTTTGTGGCCCAGGAGGCTGACTCAAAATGGACTGCATCAAAGATCTATTTTGTATTCTGTCTTCCTGTTGGGTTCAACCAATGAGAGTTAGCAGCAAGAGACCATGGGGAGATAATGAAGAATGAGGCAGGGGTATTTATAGCACTGGCTACCTTCCTCTGTGCTTGGTCACGATAAAGTGACTGCATCCCCCTGCTGAAAATGACAGCCCTTGGCATCCAATATGTAGCCAATTATCCAGTAAATGTTTTATCTTTTCCCTGTCAAGAGAGATAACTAGAAACAAGTTTTCCATCATGAATTGGGTGCTATGAAATCCTACAAATTATAAAATTGGATGTGCACAGCAGTGTTCACTTGCAAACTAAAAGAGTACGTACATTATACCCAAGCAGTATCTGAAGACACAAATAAACTAATGACTCAGACTCCTCTGGTATTCCCATTGTACCTGCTTCTATAGATTCCCTGTCTTTCCCATAACACATTTATGGCTCCATGGGTTCTTCCATATGACCATCTAATGAAAGGGGGGGGAGGGGAATCACAGCCCTGGCTTATGAGTGGATTTGAATGGTATATAGACACAATTTGGAGAGTTACTGCATCCCAGTGCCAGCATTGAAAAGGTAAAAGCAAATCACACCAGTGGGCAGAATTTTAAAAACTCCTTGAAAAGGGAGAGATTGCTCCAGGTACATATGGGAAGTGGCAAAAGAGATGGTAGGGTGGTCAGAGACTTGGAAAAAATATGAATTGTACGATTGGTAAAAGGGAGTGTAAAAGGTAGATGACCTTTCAGAAAGGACAGAGTATGAAGATAATTGTGTTCCATATATATGCTCACCAGAATGCCTCTAGCGTGGAAGAAGGTCACAGTAATTTATGGGGTGCTAAGTCTTCTCATTTTGTTTTGTTTTGCATTGTTTGTCTCATGAATTATTTAGTTGTTACTACAGTAATGCTTTGTAACAAATCACCTCGGATCTCAGTTGCATACAATAGTAAACATTTTTTTTTCACTGATGTGTCTGTAAGTTGGCTAAGGAGGCTCTTTCAGGCTGAAGATCCAATGGCCTTGGCTCAAAGCTGTGTTGGGTTAAGTTCTACTTCATATGTCTCTCATCTTACTTGGCTAACAGCTTCCCAGGGGGCATTGTTTTCACAAGGGAAATGGCAAGACTACAAAAGGGTGAGTAGAAACATAGGAGGCTGCTCAAAGTGTCAGTTTGGAACTAGCATACTTTCAGTTCTTTTCACGTCCTTGGGCCAAAATAAGTAACACATTCAAACCAAGAATCTATGTGACAAGAAATTATTTCTACCCCAAGGGGGAGGAAAGTGTACAGCAGTCCAATGTGTTGTATCTTGCTTCTGTTAGCTATCCCTGATATCGAGTTGTTTATACTATGGTTTCAACATATTTTATAGTGCTCTCATCTTCAATGGTTATTATTTTTTATAGAAGTCTAGAATTCTTTTCTTTTTGGTCTCTACTGGAATCCTGGGAGTTTTACTCGTTCTAGACCACTTATCATAGTAATTTCTTAGCTGAATTTTGATCTCTAAACCTTTTTTTTTTTTTTTTGTAGCAAATGCTGTTTATTTTGAGCATCTGGGTGCAGATGGGTGGAGTCCAAAAAAGGCGTCCATGAGAGAAAAGGGGAGAGCCTTGGGTTTTATAGAGGGTTTTTCTGGGAGGAGTAAATAAATTATTTTTAAACAACTGGGAGGGATAAGGAAAGTAAATTCCCTTCTTGCATTCCATTCCCTTATCACCCTAGGGAACAACCAGAGGGATAAGCATCCTTATCAGGAGGGATGAGGAAAGTAAGTTCCCCTTTTGCATTTCATTCCCTTATCTCCCTAGGGGTCTGGCAAAGGCTACTGCCTAATACACCCCTAGGAAGGGGAGAGGGGTGGGTTTTGTAGAATGTTTGGATAAAATTTGGGGAGGGTGAATTCTTTAAATCTAACATTCCACCCATTTTATTATATACATGTAAAAAAAGGACGGGGCAAGGTATGAGAAAGGGGAGAAAATTAAAAATTAGAAAGATTGGGAAGCAGGTGTCGTTGTCTTTCCCAGCAGGTTGCCTACTAGTTTGGGAGAGAAGCAGCAAAGAATAGGAAGAGCTCAAGATTGAGCTTTAGCTGTTATTAGAAAATTAGGAGATTCAAGGCCACCCTAACATTCCACCCTTTCCTTTGTTAAAATTGAATTTCTATTTAACATGAACTCAGAAAGTTGGGTAAATGGGCGGAGATCTTTCTTCTGTAGCTAGTTCCTGCAAAGAAAGGGCATAGAGATCTTTTTATGGAGTTCAGTGCAATGCGCACTACCCGAAGGATGGACATATTTGAAACATGGACTTGGGGGGAGGGGAACCAAGGGCAACACACGTAACCTAAACAAAGAAAATAAATAAAATACAAATTAAAACTGTAAAAAAAAAAAAGGAGAGGGTTGAAAATGCATGGTCTTGAAGTTAGAATAGAGGCAGGATGGGGTTTCACTGGAGAGACATGAGAAGCATACAGAGGAGGCAAAGCACAATAAGGAGCCATGTATACCACAGCATATTATCGGAGCCTGAGACCGCTGATGGGCTGGACCTTCAGGGAGCTTGCTGTAGGTGGAAGCAGTTTCTAGAGGGCCTGTAGGTTTGAGTCTGGAGAGATGACTCTCAGACAGAATTCCCAGAAGTTCAGCTGTAGTGGTGGAAGCAGTGAGAGAATTATTTGAAAGCTGAAGGAGGCCCTATTTATTCTGGGAAATCCTTGAGTAAAATCTAGTCTTTAGACTATAAATGTTCTGGTCCCTTTAAGAAGTCAGTAGTGCTTTTCATCACTGGCAGGTAGGCACCAGGTGGGGCTAGTGGAGGAAGACAAAGGAACCGAATTTACTAATTCCATTTCTTGAAATCAGTCTTTACAATGTCATATGCCTGTCTTTTTGCAATAGCCCTTAGGCCTAGAGAGGATGAGTAAGGTTGGGCCAGGTGGAATTTAATAGTTTAAATCCTGGAGATACCTTTGTTATTTACTTAATACTACTTCAATGGCTTTTGAAAGTAAAGCAAG